TTTTTTAAGTAGCCAATTTTTCTTAACATCAATGATACTTTAGTGTTGAATCCTCAGCTTCTGATGAATGTAATTATTTTTAAACATTTTAAGACTGAGTCTGAGGCTTTTGGGATATATTCAGTATTTCTATTATTGACTAAATCACAAAATCATTTATTGAAATACCTTTTAACTGGTTGGCTTTACTTTTTGTTCACCCTCAATCTGCAGAACTGCATAAATCAATTGGCCAAATTTCGGGACTCAGTAAATTGAAAGACTCAAAAAAGTTCATTACATCTTTCACTTTTGTTCTCAAATACTTTTTTTTTTAATGTTTTATTTATTTCTAGGAGAGAGAGAGAGACAGCGTGAGCAGGGGAGGGCCAGAGAGAGAGGGAGTCACAGACTGAAACAGGCTCCAGGCTCTGAGCTGGCAGTCAGCACAGAGCACGACGCGGGGCTCGAACCCACGAACCGCGAGATCATGACCAGAGCGAAAGTCAGACGCTTAACCGACTAAGCCACCCAGGCGCCCCGCAAATACGTTTTCATATTATCTGTTGGACAATCTTATGGTTTTTCTACTGAAATTGATACTTTAGTTTCAAACCGTATACCTATTTTTTTTTCTATCTGTATCTTCCACTGTTTCAAAATTTCCTTTATTTGTTTATGTTACGGGCTGAATGTGTCCTCCCAAAATTCGTATTAAAGCCTTGCCCCTGGGTGTCTGGGTGGCTCAGTGGGTTGAGCCTCAAACTTCAGCTCAGGTCATGATCTCACGTGTGTGGGTTCAAGCCCCGTGTTGGGCTCTGTGCTGACAGCTCAGAGCCTGGAGCTGCTTCAGATACTGTGTGTCTCTCTCTCTTTCTCTCTCTGCCCCTCCCCTGCTCACACTCAGTCTCTCTCTCAGAAATGAATAAATGTTAAAAAAAATTTTTTGTTTTAAAAGGCTTGCCCCCCTCTCAACGTGATAATTAGAATTAGATAAGGTCACAGGGTGGGAGTCATAAGGAATAATGCTCTCGTAAGAGGCACCAGAGAGCTTGCCTCCTCTGCTCTGCTCTCTACCACGTGAGATCAGAACTGCAACCGGACGAGGGTTTGGACCAGCCCCCCCGCCTGCCCCTGCACCCTAATCTGACTTCTAGCCTCCAGCACCGTGAGGAGTAGGTTTCTGTTATTTATAAGTAACCAGTCTTCCGTATTCCGTGAGAGCAGCTCTGACTATCACAGTTTACATACGTTCAGCTGTTTCATGTACTGAGTTCATTAAAATAGTATCAGTGACGATAATGAAATCACGTCTCGTTAAACTGAAACGAATTTTGACATTTCCATGAAAACATCATTTATTAAGGCCAACACGCTTAAAACACGCTTTTGAAACAGCTAAGCACTGTTTGTTTCCATGGCAGTGAACGGAGCCACAGCGCACTGATTTCCAAACTGCTTTTGAAGTCTAGCGCCTCAAGTTGTCCATCAAGGTTCAATTTTCACTATGTAATTTGCAGTTCTTTCCCATCTTTACTTGATGTGTAATAGTAAATATAGTGTACTAGGCAAAATAAGAGAATTACTTGACTCATATCTTGGAATTGCTTTATCCAAAATTAATTAAATTTGGTAACTTCGTGCCAAGTTAATACATCCAAATGTTTTCTAAACTTTTGGCTGAAACCCCAGACTCTACACTGGCACTTTTTATACAAAATCCAATGACTTCTTTTTCAACTGCTGTAAAACACTCCACTGACGTTTTTATGGAAATACTTTTCAGTGAAATATAATTTTTCTTGCCCACGTAGAAAGTTCTTTACATTGTATTAAATGTGGCTCACATCATAAAGGTCGACAAAAATCATTATCTGCAAAATCCTGAAATTTGTATTTAAAGCAAATTATTAAAACTCTTATAAGTAAAGCAAATGAAGTTTCTTTAAAAAAATTTTTTTCCTGATATTTACTTACTTTTGAGAGAGACAGAGCACGAGTGGGGGCGGGGCAGAGAGAGGGAGAGACACAGAATACGAAGCAGGCTCCAGGCTCCGAGCTGTCAGCACAGAGCCCGACGTGGGGCTTGAACCCATGAACCACAAGATCATGACCTGAGCTGAAGTCGGAGGCTCAACCAACTGAGCTCCCAGGTGCCCCCAAAGGAAGTTCCTTTGATGGTGATTTAAAACAATCTGCCTGGGGCACCTGGGGGCTCAGTTGGTTAAGCCTCCGACTTCGGCTCAGGTCAGGTTGTTATCTCACAGTGCTGAGTTCAAGCCCAACATCCGGCTCTCTGCTGTCAGCAGGGAGCCGGCTTCAGATTCTCTCTCCCCCTCTCTCTGCCCCTCCCCTGCTCGCTCTCCCTCTTTCAAAAATAAATAAAAACATTTAAATTAAAAAAAAAAACTGATCTGCCTTGGGAGAGGGGCTAGAGTGGAATCAATTTGCAGCGGCCAATGATTAGGTCAATTATGCCTCTGTAATGAAGCCTCCGTAAAACCGAAGAGGACAGAGTTTGGAGAGCCTCCCTGTGGGGGACGTGTGCAGATTTGGGGAGAGTGGCCCGGCTGGGGAGGGCACAGCTCTGAGCCCTGTCCCACATACTTCGCCCCGTGCATCTCTCCCATCTGGCTTTCCCCAAGTGCATTTTTAAATAAACAACCAGTAATCTAGTGAGTAAAAGATTAAATGACCTGCCTTGATTTATGTTTTCTGAAAAGTTGTTTTCTCACTTGGGTACGTCTACGTGTTGTAATGAGTGGATCCGTCAAATCTCAGGCTGGGATTCACTGCTCTTATAATTCCTTCTTCTGCAAATGTTTAAGATTCATGTTTATGATATTTAAAATAAATATATTTAAAAATATATCCAGGAGCGCCTGGGTGGCTCAGTCGGTTAAGCGTCCAACTTCGGCTCAGGTCATGATCTCACGTTTCGTGGGTCCGAGCCCCGCGTCGGGTTCTGTGCTGACAGCTCAGAGCCTGGAGCCTGTTTTGGATTCTGTGTCTCCATCTCTCTCTGGCCGTCTCTCTCTCAGAAATTAAAAAAAATTTTTAAATGTATCCAGATTTTTTGTCTGTTCATTCTAGGTATTTGTTTTTAGTATTTTGTCTATTTTTAAACATTTTTTTCAATGTGGATTTATTTTTGAGAGACAGAGCATGAGCAGGGACGGGGCAGAGAGGGAGACACAGGATCTGAAGCAGGCTCCAGGCTCCAAGCTGTCAGTGCAGAGCCGAAGGTGGGGCTCGAACAGGCAAACTGTGAGATCATGACCTGAGCTGAAGTCCGACGCTTAACCGACTGGGCACCCAGGCGCCCTTGATTTTAGTATTTTATGATAAAACCTTAAATGTAGAAATATGAGACGCTGCACAACTACTACTTTCAAAACAATTACCAAATGCCAAGAATAAAATTTTTTTTCTTTCACAGTGTATTGTCAAGTTGGTTTCCAGAATAAAATTATTTTGAGCTAGTGATTCTCTTAAAGCAATTAGCGTTTTGTTAACATAAGCAACTCAGCCAGCTCCTTCAGTGACACAGGCCAAACTATGTCCTCAGTATTTCTCGGATGTAGCTACATCAGGAGGCCCACTGTCAATGGTACTAATGTGCTAAAACTGTCACCAAGGAGTTTATATTAAATTTATATTAACTCATTAGAACACGTATCACTACTAGTACGATACAATTTACCATTAGGTAAACATTCAGTATTTTCACCCTCAGGAAGGTGCGGGGAGCGGGCTGGCTACGCCAGCTCTGGCCTGGCTCCCGGATTTGGCCCAGGGGCTGCCAGCTTTCGCACTTGGCCACCACCTTGGAAGAGATAATCAATGGGTTCTTGATTGGACGATGAGGCTGGATTCGGAAGCAGCTCCACAGAGTAGCTCGGTCACTTGGGGGGGGAGGGGGGATACCAAGTGACGTCACACTGGGGCCATCGGCTCGCCGGAGCCCCCGCCCGCCTCTGGCAGTCAGCGTAACCCCATCCCTGGGAAATCGAGGTTCTCACAAAGCCACTTCCCGCCCCAGTCCGGGTTCTGCGGCAAGACGTCTGCACATCCGGCTGCGCGGGGCGGGACGGGCAGACACCGCAATCCCTAAACCACTATTACAGACCTGCACCTCCGGGTCACCACGCGGCTCCCGAAACCCTGCTCCCCAGCCATCGCCTCTTCTTCTAAACGATCACAGCGCGACGTCCGTCTTCGCGCCACCCGGGACCGCACGCGGCTCGGAAGTGAATCCCCAGCGCCCCGCCCGGCGTCCCCGCCGCGTAGCCTGGCTCCCACAGGACGTCGTCCCCTGCGGGGCTTAGGCGGCGACACCGCCATGCCCTGGTCACAAAGCGTTCCCTCCCCCCTCACGGCCGGTCGCCAGTATCCCTCGGGGCAACTCCTCCGGGAGGTCCTCCAGGATTCCCGGGCAGGCCAGACCATTTCCTGAGCTGCCCGGCTCTCCTCTGACCCTCTGTCTCTCCAGAACCGGGGACCCCTTCTGGGACCCCGCGCCCAGGGCAGGCCTCCGGGTTTGCTGAGGGACTCCACGAGCGAGGGTGTTCCGACGGCCCCGGCAGCCGGGCACCTGGCGGGGGTCGGGCACTGCGGCCTGGTCCTGACCGAAGGAGGTCGTGCCGTGTTCATTAACTCGGAGTCACAGGTGCCAAGAAGGGCACAGAAGTGACCTGGGGCCCCGCCTCGCTCGCAGGGCTGCGCGCGCACACGGCTTCGGCCCTCTGCCTCGGTTTCTCCACCTGCCGGAACCGGCCCTGCCTCGCGAGCCGTGACGAGCCGTCCCGGTCGCCCCTCCCTCGCTGTGCGAGGTCTGCGCAGCCGCACGCTCCCAATCCCGGCGTGCCCCGCGCCCCGCCCCGCCGGCGAGCGCCGTCTTCCCGGCAGGCCCCGGGAGCCCCGCTACATGCCGGGAGTTGTGGTCCCGGCGGAGGCGGCGCCACGGCCGGCCCGCAGCGCGTGGCAGGAAGCGGAAGCGGCCTGCGACGCGCCCCCGGCCCCGCCCCGCGCCCGCCGCTCGCCGCGGTGCTAGCACTGACGTGTCTCTCGGCCGAGGTGCTGCGCTCCGGAGCGGGCTGGGCCGCGGGCAGCGTCACCCCACTCGGAGTGCAGCGGAGCAGCGGCGGGACCCGGGGCCCGAGCAGCCGCCGCCATGGCGAGTGAGTCCCTCGGGGCAGCCCCGGCGACTGGGGAAGGCTCGGATCCCCCTGCCCCTCGCCGGTCCGGGCGAGCGCCCCCCCCCCCCCCGCCGAGCCCGCCCGGGTGCCCTCCGAACGGGGCCCGCGCCCCCTGCCGCCCCTCGGGGCCCCCGCGAGCCCCCGCGCGCGCCGGCTCCCCTGGTCCCGGCTCCAGCTCGTGCTGGGCGGGAGGCGTCCCGGGGAGCGCAGGGGGCTTTCCCGTGCCCTAACTCTGCTTTGTCTCTCCCTTCAAAGTCAAGTTTCTGGAAGTCATCAAGCCCTTCTGTGTCATCCTGCCGGAAATTCAGAAGCCGGAGAGGAAGGTAGGTTCCCCATTCCGCCGCCCAAGACGGGCCCGTGAAACTGGGCGCCTCAAGTTCGCGGTACAATTAAACATGGCCTCAGCGCGCCCCGCGGAAACTTCTCCCGGTCCTTCCTCCCGAGCGCTGTCGCCGGTGACCGGCTGCGCGGGGGGTTGCGCCGAAACCAGGCCGTGCTGTTTCGGGAGCATCTTCGTGGACGTTGCCCCTAAAGTGGATCTCGGCCCTGAACGAATAAGGCCTGGAAGCCTCGGGGTACTCGGCCCGGGCGACCCACCTCCCTCTTCCCGTCGCCGGGAGCGCCGAGTGGTCGGTGTCCTCCCCGGAGAAGAGCTGAGAATGCATGGGCTGGAGGGACCGAACGGCGGCCACCGACCCCCGCACACACGCCTCTGTGCCCTTAGCGTAGGCTGTCACCGTATCGAGGGAGAAAAGGCGTTTCGCGAACCCTAGTTTTTACAACAGACACCTTACAACCCGAGAAGATAAGCACGTAGATCCTTTATCAGGATTTGGGGGCCTGCACGGCCGCATCCCGGGCAAGAGCGCCACCGGTGTTGGTTAGTAAAGCTGTTGAGCGGCCAGAAAGTTTTATTTAGACTCTTGCATCGAAACGAATGGATAGTGAACGATTTTGTGTTTGGGGTTCTTTTCAGACCGTTGCTCACGGATTCGTTAGTACCTACGTGTAGTTGATGTCAGCGTGGAGTTGATGTCAGCGTGGACGATTACTCTTGGAATCTTTTTTTTTCTTATAATCGTTTTGCATAAAAGGGCTCCACGTACGTGCTGCCCTCAGAATATTTGTGCCCTCTACCCGTCCCCCTGGCATAGAAGAAAGGGACGAGCTTCGGACCCGCCCTTCACAAACCTCTTAAAAGCCATGCGGCCTTGGCCTTGGCCTTGGAACTCGGTGTGGTAGATGGAGCAGTGAAAATCCTGCGAGGAATAGCAATGGCTCAGGATGGGATTAGCCGGGGGATGTGGTTCCCGATGGTGGGTTTAGTGGAAGAATAGAAGTTCTTTTGAGGAGAAGGGAAGGAATTCCAGACACAAGGAGTACCTGTGCACAAAGACCGGGAAGACAGCCGGTGGGAGGGGGTGGCTGCAGTTCCCTGTTGCTGGAAGGTAAAGGGTGGTGGGGAGCAGTGGAAGGGCCAGATGATTAGATTGTTCTGGAAGTAGGTAGAAAGCGGTTTGGAGGCTTTTGCAATAGAGGGTGTATGGGGGGCAGCTAGGAGACAAGGATGGATCCAGAGGCTATTTCAGAGGTAAAGTAGCGAGCACTGGGATAAAGGGCTTTTCGAGGTTTGCTGTTGAACTTGGCTCCGTCCAGGAGAGGAGACTGGGTTCTTAAGAAACGAGGAGTCTCATAAAAGTTGTCTCCCCTTTTTTTTGCCCCTAAAGAGCCATTTCAGTACAAGCGTGTTGGGTTCCTAGGCAGCCAGACGTGATGTGTGATGTCGCCTTCCGTTGGCCTGATTTCTTGGGGCAGTGAGGTGCCCGGTGGGCGGGAGAGCATTCTCGGGAGGAAGAAGAGTTCTGCTACTATGTAGTACCAGAGGGACTGGGAGGCGGGGGGGATGTCCAAACTTGTTATTTATTTATTTATTCAAAATGTTTTTATTTATTTCTCGGAGAGAGAGAGAGCGAGAGCAGGGGAGGGTCAGAGAGAGAGGGAGACACAGACTCCGAAACAGGCTCCAGGCTCCGAGCTGGCAGTCAGCACAGAGCCCGATGCGGGGCTCGAACCCACGAACCGCGAGATCATCACCCAAGCGAAAGTCGGACGCTTAACCGACTGAGCCACCCAGGCACCCCTTATTTATTTATTTTAATGCTTATTAACTTTTAAGAGACAGATTGCGAGTGGGGGAAGGGCGGGGGGGGGGAGACACAGAATTGGAAACAAGCTCCAGGCTCTGAGCCGTCAGCACAGAGCCCTGACACGGGGCTGGAACCCACTGACCGTGAAATCATGACCTGAGCCGAAGTCGGACGCTTCACCGACGGAGCCGCCCAGGCGCCCTGACACGTTTGAATGGTACTTACAGGTTATCTCTGAAATGATTCCCAGTAATCCCCTGCCCTACCTGTGTGCCAAGGGAGACACGAAACGGTCTTCCGCAGGTGCTGTTAGCAGGCAGTGAGTAGGTTCAGGGTGCACCTCTCCCTGTCTGTCCCCCGGTGTCGTTCCTGACACCGTTCTACCGTTAATTCATAGTAAATACACCGTTGAACGATCACAAATTGCAAATTAGTTACCTACAGAATTGCAAGATTTTACCAATTTCAGAAGCTTTCCGAGTGAGAAGCGATCGCTCACCGGTTTAAGGGCTTGTCTGGTTTAGGAATCCCTTTCTGTTGCTGCAGTCTTTGCTCTCGGTCTAATCCTAAGCCGTCAATGCTGGTGGTTAAGAGCACGGCTTTTGCACTCAACTTCACTTCAGCTGTGGGGTTTTGGACACGTTAGCTTTCTGAAAACTCCGTCTTCTCACTCCGCGATAAAGATGATAATGCCGCGTGGTAGAGGATCACACGAGATGGCCCCTCTGAGCGTCTCTGCCTAAGTGTCTTGTGCGTAGAAAGCACGTGGTACACGCGGCTTGGGGCGTCCAGGGCTCACTCGCCTGGTGAACCGAGAAAGGGGACGAATGGAGTTCGTTTCCACTGATTTGCTTGTGAAAGTCACTGACCGCCTGAGCAATTCCTCTTCTCCTACAGATCCAGTTTAAGGAGAAGGTGCTGTGGACCGCCATCACCCTCTTCATCTTCTTAGTGTGCTGCCAGGTAAGCGCAGGCCGCGCCCCAGAGCTGGTGTGGGGACAAGAGCCGGCCGGAAGGAAGTGCGCTCACTGCTTTTCTCTGCTTCTCTCCAGATCCCGCTGTTCGGGATCATGTCTTCGGATTCGGCTGACCCCTTCTACTGGATGAGAGTGATCCTGGCCTCTAACAGAGGTAGGGCCCTGGCCGTCTGCACTTCCTGCGATGCAGACCTGACCGGCCTCCCTTGCTTAAATGACAGCCTTTGGCTTTATGTGGGATTCAGAGGGCATTTGGGAAGGATGTTGGCATCCTGGGCCGACTAGCCTTTGCAAATGCCAGCTTTAGCACTGAGGCCCGGCGGCGTGTTTGGAATTGTATTTGAACGCAACACAAAAGCTCTAAGAACAAGATAAATCCAGGTCGTGGAGGATAAAAAAAGCATGGAAAAACTAGAATGTGGCTTGGTTTTTTTAATGTTTTATTTATCTTTTTTTTGAGAGAGAGAGAGAGACAGCATGAGTAGGGGAGGGGCAGAGAGAGAGGGAGACACAGAATCCAAAGACAGGCTCCAGTGTCTGAGCTGGCTGTCAGCACAGAGCCCAGTGCGGGGCTCAAACCCACGAACCGTGAGATCATGACCTGAGCCGAAGTCAGATGCTTAACCGACTGAGCCCCCAGGCGCCCCAGAATGTGTTTGAAACCACTGCAGCGGGGACATTTGTACCGGTCTTTCTCCCATTTTGATAACATTCTTGGGAGCATGTAGTCTATTTCTCCGCAACATTTATTTTCACATCTGTAGTCACACGTCTGTGTCAAAGAGAATACATAACGGTGTTTCGTGTACTTCAACCCATTACCTACGGGGAGAGGATTTTGAGCACTTATGTCGATACTGCTTTTGATGAGCTCCATTTTTAAATATAGTTCAAATTAAGTTCAAACCGGTCGGAAGTGTAGCTCATCTCAGCGCAGTGGAAGTAGAGGTTTATTCCCAACTCGGTATGGTGGGCCAGACCTTTTTTCCAAACTCTGGAAATTATCTGTACGTTATGCTTTTTGTATTAACCAATGAGGAGACGAACCTTTCATGTCTCTAACACCAGGGTGAGTCTGCTTAGGGTGAGTGTAGACACAGTCAGCTGTGCGAGTGCCACGTGACTCCTAAACAGACTGAGACACTGCCTGGTGGGCCAAGCAGAATGACTGGGATTGTACTCTGATCACTGATAGTGGGGGATTATTCTCGAAATTAACCGCCGCTAGCCAACGGAAACACCTTGGATCTATATACAGGGTTCACCATCGAATTTTGTTCATTCGGTGCTTAAGAACGGGTTGCTTTCCCACGCTCATAGTGGCTATGCCCTGCGCTTTCTTCAAGGGACGTTGATGGAGCTGGGGATCTCTCCCATTGTCACCTCCGGCCTCATCATGCAGCTGCTGGCTGGCGCCAAAATAATCGAAGTTGGTGACACCCCGAAAGACCGAGCCCTCTTCAATGGAGCCCAGAAGTGTGAGTGAGATTTCAAATAATGTCTGGATGTCTGTCGTTGGGAATTCAAATTTGTAATAAAGTTTAGGGCATCAAAACAGGTTTTTTTTGTGTGTGCCCTTAACCTCCGTGGCCCCCCACCTTGTTAGGCGTACGGGGGGCTGTGTTAGTGAGAAAGCACCAGGACGGGCGGGATGAGGCGGGGGAAAGGGTGTCGAGTGGTGTGACCAAGTGGAAGGAGGGCTCGAGGTCTCCCTCTTCCTCAGCCGCAGTCTCCTTACCGCTTCGAAGGAGAGACTTCAGAGCGTGGTAAGAATTCAGCTGAGCGGTGTGCGCAAAACATCTCTCAGTGCCTGGCACGCAGTAGTTACTCTACAAGTGGTTTTCTCTTTCTTCTGGGAGTTTGAAAGAGTTGAGCCTAGGTCGAAAGGATCCGCTGAGTCCAACTCTGCTATTTCCCAGCTCTGCGGCCTCGCACAAAGTTAGGTCACAGCTCTGGAGTCTCGGTTTCTTCATCTGTAAAAACGAGAATAATGGTATTTGCTTTATGGTAAATAACGGGTTACTTGTAGCAGTGACTGGTCCTCAGAATTAACCACATTCAGCCTCTGACTGTGAGGTGAAATGTGTTTAATCAGGAAATGATGTTTACAGTTTCGTCTGCAGCTGTATTTCCTTCTACGCCGTCATGTTACATCTTCGGTTAGGTTAAGTGAGTGAGCAAGAAAGACTAAACCCATCCAGACATGCCTGTTTCAGACCCACATCAGGATTTAAAAAGATATACGTAAATTATTTTTCCAAAGTACACACCAGTTGTTTTCTCTTCAGTCTTGGACAGTTTTTTTAAATTTTTTCTGTCTTAAGACTTCAGTTTTATTAGGCACTTTTTAAAAAGTCTAATGGACGCTATGTGATAGGTACTTTGGAATAAAACTGTATTTTCTGTGCAAGCTAAGCAGAAAGGTGAAATTGAATCCCAAACCCATCTGGTTTGGCCGAACCAAGAAAACTTGTGGATTCCATCGTGCCTAACAGCGGAGTATAATGAGATCCAAGAAACAAAAATGTCTGCCTACGGAAAGAAAAGTATCTTGGGCCAGAAGAGCTCTGTGGCAGAGGAAACTGGTAGCTAAATTGATGGCGCTGTGAGGTTTTTCCTTAAAAAACACATTAACTACAGACAAGGAAAGGATCACTTTATCCCAGAGTTACTATTCGGTGTTGTGGACTCAGAGCCAGATGAGCCTGGGGAGGGCCCAGGCATGCACTTCAGCCAAGGAGCTCTCCCGAGCCCCAGCGAGCTGCCCCGGGTTGGGACGCTGCAGCTTGGCACCATCACCAAATCACGGGCCTCTGGATGTCACCTCCCCTGGCTCCCTGACTCCCCTTTCTTTAAGGACTAGATTTGTCACATTTCAACTCTTTTTGTCCTGCTGTCACGGAAAGGAAAGTGAGGTTAGGGGGAAGCTGAAATCGACGAGCCTGCATGGCTTTGTCGGAAGGCATTTGAACTACCTGGCGCGTTCCTGGACCGCTCTCCTGGCAGGCGGTATCCGTATTCTTCGTCTCCAGCTTCGTTCTCCCCTGTGCCCGGCACGGAGTCGGTGTTCAGTAACTCTTCTCTCCCGGGCCACGCAGTGTCCCACTTTGAACACCGTTTTCTTTTGATCTCCAGTATTCGGCATGATCATCACCATCGGCCAGTCCATCGTGTATGTGATGACGGGAATGTACGGAGACCCTTCCGAGATGGGTGCTGGGATCTGCCTGTTAATCACCATCCAGGTAATCACTCCTCTGACACATCCCCGCTTCTGAGTCGTCCCTCACGTGGCCTTAACTTCCCGGGTGGCAAATCCGAGGTGTGCCTAAAACAGGGAGGAGAGGGAGCCACAGCCCCTGTGGTGGCCCTTCTGAGTTCACCAGGGGAAGCCTGTACAGCCGGGGTCTACTCTGCCTTTAGCTTTCATATCGGGGAAGCGCGTTACCGCAGGAGAGAACCGTGCCCGTTAAGAACAGAGATGCGCCGTCTCTTTGGGTTTTTGAACTTTTTTCTTTTTTAATTTTCACAGCTCTTCGTCGCTGGCTTAATTGTCTTACTCTTGGATGAACTTCTGCAAAAAGGGTACGGCCTGGGCTCTGGGATTTCCCTCTTCATCGCCACTAACATCTGCGAGACGATCGTGTGGAAGGCATTCAGCCCCACAACCGTCAACACCGGTCGAGGTGAGGGCTCTGGCCTCGGGACGGCCTCAGGACGGGGTTCAGTAAGCAGTCCCGGCGTGCGCAAAGCAGGAAACAGCAGCCCCCCCCCCCCCGCCCCCTTCCCAGGAAAAATTGTCAGTTTTAGCTACCCTCTTCCGATTTTTCTCTGTGGATCTGCAGAGAGTTGCTTTCGCTGGTTTGGTTTGCTTTGGTCTAGAGTAACCTCTTCCTGTAGAAGTTTGTAAACACAGTTTCTCATGTGAGTGTTTCGTGGGCATTTGTCGTGCTGGAATGAGTAGGCCTGCCTGGTTTTCCTTAGTGCAGACGGCCTTTTATTGCAAGGATGAAGCCACACTTATCATAGCCGGTTTTCTTCTGATGGGCCCTGAGGTAGTTTCCCGTTCCACCGTTGTTAGAGCAGGGAAATAGCGCGCGTCTGCACACATTCATCCTTGTGTGCCCTGGTGGCTGCTCACAGCAAATAAGTCTCTAAAAATGAAATTACTGAACTAACACGTTCGGTCATGCGAGGGACAGTTTTGTGCGAGAGGCCTGAACTTGGAGCTCACCAGGGCTTAAATCCTGGCCATTGCCGATGGTACCCAGTGGCCGCGGGTGCCAGGATTAAGTGAGAAATAACACGAAGTTAGTGATACGTGGCTCAGAGTGGATGCGCATCGCATGTAAGTGGTCCACAATGTTCCTGTAAGGGGGGGAAATCTTGCTACGGGCAGTGTTTTTAATAAAACGTTCTAAGCATTTAGGGAAGTGTGACTTATTAGGAAAGGAAATCAGGGTTTTTTCATCCCTCAAGATGCTATTCACTCAGATGAGTCCCATGAGAAGTGACTATTCGTCCATTTTTGAGTATTTTTCTTGGAACTGAATGCTGGATACCATCCCTGGCCCCCAGAGGCCACACGGTCTCATTGTGAGACTGCGAGTAGGTCCCTGGACAAGTGAGGGCCACCTGCCTCCAGTAGATGACAAGGAAAAGTGTGTCGCTGGACACGGAATGTCAGAGGGCTCCGAGAGGAGTGGGCAGGAGCACACGTGATTCCTCCCTGGGCGCTTCTGGAGTTCCGGGAGGCCAGGGCGCGTTGGGAGAAGCTGGAGGGAGGGAAGTCAGGGTTTCAGCAGTGGGTGTGAAAAGGCAGGACGGCGAAGGCATAGTCGGGGTCCAGGTGTACGGAGACTGTCGCCGGGGTGTCTTACAGTAAGAGGAAGCGAATCCAGCCGGGGCGGGGGTGGGGGCGGGGGGGGTCCTGCCCGGGGAGGGGTTAGTAAGTCTCAGAAGCCACCAGCCAGGGCTTTGCAGCCAAGGCGCTACGTTCTGTTCGGGAGCAGGCCCTGAGGCAGTGAGAGCTGGGGTGTGGAAGGAGCGATTCACCAGGGACTGGGGGAGACGGGCAGAGGGCACGGCCGGGTAGCGAGTCGGTCGTTCAGCTTTGCTGAGCCAGGCCGTCGAGGAAGGTACCAAGCGAGGGCCCGAGGAGAAAAGCCTGGGAGGGATGGGACGGAGGAGGCTCTTTCAGGGGTGATGGTGAATCGCGAAGCACAGTTGGGTTTGTTTCCCGCTTTAAAGTCAAAGTGCCAGCTGTCAGCCGCTAGTGGTGGGGACCGGGCTGGAGAGGCGGTGAGGCCAGGGTCACTTGGCAGCCACGCGTGTGGGCGGTGAGTGTCACCGCGGGAGCCGTGGGTGAAGGGAGTGGGAGAAGGGGGTTCATGAGGACGGACCCTGGCGGGGGGCACAGGGCGGAGAAGGCGGCCCGGCCACGTAGCCGGAACTGTGTCGGGCACGTGGGCCTCTGTCGCGCGCCGTGGCCCTCTCGGGTCTGGGAGAGCAGCCGTCCCCGGGCAGGTGGGCACGGCCCACGAGGGACCAGCAGGGACCGAGCAGGCACGAAGCTGCCTCTGTCCCCGAAGTGACTCTGTGCCCTTAGAAACCCCGTCTGTTCCCGGCGATTCGGCCGGTACCGGGTTTTGAGAAATGATTATGCTAAGAGTCAGGAGAACTCGGCTTAACCCCAGCCTCACCCCTCACTCAACACGTACAGATCCGTTAGGGATCAGGCGCTGGGGATATGGAGGCAGCTGAGTGTGAGGTCAGCGTCAGGACAGCTCCCTTAGGGGACAAGGCAGAGGACAACGACGGAGACGCTGGGAAGGTCACTGCAGGGTCAGTGTGGTGACCAGGAAGATTCCCCCCCCACCCCCACCCCTCTGTCAGAGGGAGGGGAGGACTCTGCCCGTGGCTCTGGGAGCAGCAGCGCCAGTGCCGCGGCACGCGCTCTCCCGCCACCGAGAGCCCGAGAGCCAAGGTGGGCCGGCGGCTTGCCACTTTACCAGGCGCGCCCTCTCCTTCGCCAACAGGAATGGAGTTCGAAGGCGCCATCATCGCGCTCTTCCACCTGCTGGCCACCCGCACCGACAAGGTCCGAGCCCTCCGCGAGGCCTTCTACCGCCAGAACCTCCCCAACCTCATGAACCTGATCGCCACCATCTTTGTCTTCGCGGTGGTGATCTACTTCCAGGTGCGTCCAGATCCGGCCACTTTCGATGGCTGCGTTTGGGTTTCAGAGTGCCTTGGGGCCGCGTCCCCGTCCACGCCCGGGTGGCATGCATCCCGTCGCGCTGAAATGAGACCGCGTTTGAAGGGCGCACCTGCACGTGAGCAGCGCGGGTGCCTCCCACTGAGTCGCGGGACTTGACCGCAGCAAACAGTTCTGTAAACACCTGTCTCATTTCTGAAATCGTGGTCCCCTGGGTCAGGCCCGTCAGTAGACGGAGAAGATCTGTGAGTTTTCAGTTCAGGAGAGAAGGAAAGTAAGCAACTCAGGTTGTACGGTAACTGCGGCAGAGCCTTGGCTTGGAAACAGCCCGCCTCTTACCTTCCAGATTATCGGTGAGTGTCCCACGCTCCCGCACAAGAGACTGAACTGCTGTTTCCCGTTCTGTGGTCAGATTAACCTTTGTCTGTTGTGATCGGCCGCTTTGTGTTCTGATACTTATTGATAAGGAGGGACAGCAGTCGAGAAAGCAGCTGGAAAGGTATTTAAACCAGGCAGGTGCCTTTTGTGAGGACCTAACAGTTCCGGTCCTTCCGCTGCGGCGGAGGCGCCTTGTTACTGACCAGCGGACTTGCTGGGGACTGGGCAAGAATCTGCATCTGGAGCGCAATCGGTTTGTTTTAAATCCTGCGTATCCTGAGCCCCGTTCTAGGGACTGGGAGTTTGTGAAAATAATAGAAAAGGAACCCTTTCTATTCTCCGGGGGTTTCAGAGGGAGCGGTCGTATTCCTGGAAAAGCTCAGCTCTTCTGTTCATGGTCAGAAATGCCCTAAACGGCTGCTGAGGGGAGCGAGGCGAAGGCCGCGGTGGCCCCAGAAAGCACAGGCGAGGGACGTGCCGCTGGGCCCCGGGCGGATCTCTGTGGCTTCTCTCTGGACCCTGCGGGGAGATGTGTGTGATGAACCGGACTTTGGCTTTTACCAAGAGTGGCATGATTTCACTGCTGGGTGTTTACGCCAGCGCTTCTGGGGACCTTCTGTTCAGATGCCCCCCGGGCGCGCAGGTGGGTGAGGCCGGGGCACAGAGCCTGGGACCCGGCGCCCGGGGCCAGCTCCCCTGCCGCCAGAGCTGGCGCCGAGGGACAGACGGCCCCTGTTTGGCTCCCCAGGGCTTCCGCGTGGACCTGCCCATCAAGTCGGCCCGCTACCGAGGCCAGTACAACACGTACCCGATCAAGCTCTTCTACACGTCCAACATCCCCATCATCCTGCAGTCGGCGCTGGTGTCCAACCTGTACGTCATCTCGCAGATGCTGTCGGCCCGCTTCAGCGGCAACCTGCTCGTCAGCCTGCTGGGCACCTGGTCTGTGAGTACCGCCCGCCACCGAACGTTTCGCCCGGAGCGTTTTTCCCGTCGCGCCTTTTACGCGCTCAGCGCATCAGACGTCCTTGTCCGCGAGGGGGCCGCGCCGCGGGCACCTGAGCTAAACGGTCCTTCACCTGCCCGGAACTGTTTCTGCCCCGATGCCGAGGCGGCACCCACAGCTTTCCCGCGCGTTCTTTCCAGGACACGTCTTCCGGGGGTCCCGCCCGCGCTTACCCAGTTGGTGGCCTGTGCTATTACCTGTCCCCTCCGGAGTCGTTCGGCTCCGTGCTGGAAGACCCCGTCCACGCCGTGGTGTACATCGTGTTCATGCTCGGCTCGTGTGCGTTCTTCTCCAAAACGTGGATTGAGGTCTCGGGCTCCTCTGCCAAAGACGTGAGTATGAGCCACGGCGGGGTTCCGGGTGGGTGGGGGCGGGGCAGCCGCAGGGCTCAGCCGGGAGCGGCGGGGGTCTCGGCTCCGCACCTCTTCCCGAGAGCGGCCTGTGCACGCCCGCAGCATGTGCCCCTGCTGGGGGCGGCCCGAGGCGTCGATGGCCAGAGCCGGAGCCCAGCCATGGGGCTGGCCTTCGTCACATGGCGCCCTGCAGGCGTCGCGTCCCGTGTGAGGGCCGGGCACCGCCAGGAGTCGTGCGCCTTCCCTCAGCCTCGAGTGTAAAGCCTCACGCTGCCTCCTTGCTGGGTGCCCTGCAGGTGGCGAAGCAGCTGAAGGAGCAGCAGATGGTGATGAGGGGCCACCGGGAGACCTCCATGGTCCACGAGCTCAACCGGTGAGTGTCGGGCCCGTGCCCAGCCCCGTGCCCAGCCCCGTGCCGGAGGCCTCCTCGCGCTGAGCGTCCTGACCGGCCTCAGGGACTTGCGGCTGGTTAACGCTGCCCCTGGGAAACGGGACGGGAGCTTGCGAGCCGCTGGAAGAAATAAGTGCGTGTAGCCCGTCTCCTCCGAGAAGCGAGCGGGCAGCGCGCGGCCCCACCGCGCCAGGTGGCGAGCGGGCCGCTGGGGCGCCGGGACCCCGCTTGTGCTCCAGGCGCGGGTGAGGGCCGCGTGGAGGCGAGGTTAGCGGGGCCGCACGGGGAAGGGGCAGCGCCAGGGGTCCCTTCAGGAAACTCCACGCTGGAGGCGGACCCACCAGAGGGAGGGGAGGCTGACCTCCGAGAGGCGCTGTGGGAGTTCGGGGAGCACGGAGGCCGGGGCGGGGAGAACACTCCCGCGCCGCTGTGCCGCCCGCCCTCCTCTTCACCGTCCCCGGGGGCTGCGGCGCGTCCCGGGCTTCCCACGCCGTTAGCCTCTGTCGTGACCGCTTGCTTCCCCCACTGCCACTGGGAAGCAGCCGTGGACGGTCCACGAATGGAGGAGGAAACTGTTCACGGAACAGGGTGGCCAGCAGGGGTCCTGTGGCCTGCGGCCGGCTCATCTCACCTAAAGGAAGCAACCACAGGGGAAGCTGGTGCTGCAAGTTCCAGATGGTTCCCGGGCCTCTAGCGGGGGCAGTTCTGAGGATTCTCTGAGCCCTCTGGACTTCTGTCATTACAGTAATAGCCCGCAAACCACATAGGAGTTTTTAAATTTTCTAGTGGTCACGTTAAAAAAGTGCGAACATACCTGAAACTAATAAAATGTCAGATGGGGGCTGTATCTTAAAAAGAAACTGGTAAAGTGAAGTTCAAGGACACGTTTATTTAACCCAGTATGTCCAGAAACTGTTAACATAAAAAAAAAAGCATAGCGAGATTTTAAATTCTTGTTTTCAAAACCTCACATGAGGTCTCGATTTGGGCTAGTCCCGTGTCGCGGGCCCCACGCGGGCCCCTCTGGACGGCCCAGCCCCGGTGTAGACGGAGGCCTGCACCAGGTGACGTCCCAGCAGGCGGTGGAGCAGCCTCTAAGGAGTCGGGTGGCCCGGCCGGGGGGTCTGCGCGGTGGCGCGTGGCTGACCGGCCCCCTCCCCCCAGGTACATCCCCACCGCCGCGGCCTTCGGCGGCCTGTGCATCGGGGCCCTCTCCGTCCTGGCCGACTTCCTGGGCGCCATCGGGTCTGGAACCGGCATCCTGCTCGCCGTCACCATCATCTACCAGTACTTCGAAATCTTCGTGAAGGAGCAGAGCGAGGTCGGCAGCATGGGTGCCCTCCTGTTCTGAGCCCCGCCCCCCGGCCAGGGACAGCGAAGGGGCCGCGAGGCCTCACCGCGGGGCGCCCGCAGCGGGCGCGCCGCCGCGGCGCCGGGACTTCGGTCTGATCGTGGTTTCCAGTTTCCTCTTCTTTTCATTCCACTGTGTAAAGTGCTAGGATTTTTCCCGTTTGAAGTTTTGCTTTTTACTCTGGCGGCGGCGGGAGGAGCGGTAGAGCCGAGGTTTTACTGAGCCGCCCGCCTGCCGGGGTGGGGGTGGCAAGTGCCCGTCCCCGAGCGTCCACGTAGCTTTTGTTTTCGCCTGCGCACCTGCTCAGTGCCAGCGGCGGCTGCAGTGTCCCAGCCGTGTCCCCGCCGCGGGGACGTCCTGTTGGTGAGAAGCACAAGCCCTGCGGCGGCGTCTGCGTGGAGGCCGCAGGGCGCGAGGCTGAGAGCGACTCGCGCCTTCCGGCGGGCTCGCCAGCGAGTCCCTCTCACAATCAGGGGTAGGACTGTCTGGCTCAAGACTGTTTTTCTGGAAGACACAGTCGTTTTCCCTTTTTATAAGCAGTTTTTTTAGGACCAAGCTTCTTCCAAAGGAAAGGGACGGGTTTTCCAGAAGACGCCCCGCGTTAATTTCTCTGCACGTGCCTGTGGGCTGCTGGCGTTGACGGCTCCGGCCGGGCTTTGGGGCTGAGGGCGCGGAGCCGGCCTGGCGCCCCCGTGCCCGTCTGTCTGTAGTCGGTTCGTGTCCTCCGAGCGAGCGGGGCCGTCGTGCCGACCGGGCCAGGCGGACGTTGCGCAGACGACCCTTGAGGCGACGTGTGTCTGTCCGGTCCTTCCGGTTGTCGCTGCCGGGCGGGCCCCGCGGCCGAGGGAGCCGCACGCGGACGTGGGGAGGCGGCAGCTGGGCGCTGGCACTGCCGCCTGCCGGGCTGAGAACTTGCTGCCGTGTGTTGTGGCGCTTTTTTATCGTGCTCGGGACCAAATGCATGTAGAGTAAGTGACCGGATGCCACCCGTCGCCCGTCACCTCCCATCGGGAGCGCCCGGCGGAGAGGGGGGCTCGGGCCCCAGATCCGTGATGAAATCAGGGTCAGAGAGCTGGGGGGGTTTTAGTGTTTGGGATTTTTTTCTTTTAGTAAGTTGCTCCAGTGTTCGATACAGAAAGACTCACGCTTAGGTCTGAAGTGAAGTTCTGTGGGCAGGAACAGAGGACCTAGATTTTAGGGTTCGAGAGGCGTCCGGGAAGGCTCCTCAGGGGACAGGCCGCGCTTCGCAGCAGGGACAGCGGAGGCCGGTGCCCCCAGCCGGACGGTTCTCGCCGCAAGGCACCCAGTCCTAGAAGGCGAGTGTCTGGGGCCCTGCGGACAGAGCCGCCGCGCCACAGCAGGCACACGGCGGCCTTCGACGCCCGGAGCCACGGCCGCGGTCACGGCTCGGCCACTCGGGTGGTGGGGCGGTCCGCGTCGGAGCTCCTCGGGGACCTCGCTGGCAGCGCCAACCAGGACACGGACCGACCGAGGAACAACACGCGGCTCGCCCACAGCCGCCCAGCAAGCCCGCAGGGCTGTGGCCCCCTCCCCGTGCAGGGCGGACCACCGCATCACACGTGGCCTTGTCAGACCCAGTCCTGAGCAGAGACTCGACCCCCCCCCCCACGGCACGCGGTCTGTGTGACCCCACCCGGGGCAGCGCCGTGGGCGCCAGCCTCGTGGGGGGCCCCGCACGGCTCGTGCTCCGTGGTCCGTGATCACAGTGGGTGGGGGCCGACCCCAGCCTCCAGGGGACTGTCACTGTGGACGCCACAATGGCATAACTGAGTTAAGGTGAATAAGTGACAAATAAAGCCAACTTTTTACAAGCTCCTTGGTCACGATCTCTGGGTTTGTGGTTCCCGAGAAGGCCACTGACGGAAGGGCTGGGTGCCCCCAGGGCACATGAGGCTTTTGCAGGGGTGCCCCTCACCTCGGTGGACGTTCCTCAGACAGGCAAACGGCCTGGAAACTTCCTTATCCTGGGGAAGGAAGTGAGGGGGGGGAGGGGGTCTCACCCGGGAGGCAGCCTCCACGGCGCCGTGGCCCTCGGCTGTGGCGGCAGGGGCGTCACTGTGCGGCCAGCCGCCGATGAGCCGCACGTGAAGCTAAGCTAGGAGGGTCTCCCCTGCCCCCGACCCCAGCGTCATGGGGGTGGCGGTGGCCGATGTGATGGCCGCTCCCTGGAACGGGCACACGGAGGGCTCCCCACAGCTTCCACTCTGAGGACGGTAGCGCGTGTTTCCAGGGTGACGGGAGAGAAGAGCTCCCCACCCACCTGGGTTTGAGGGTGACGGGCTCCTCCCGGGCGTGGAGCCCTCCGCCGCCGCCACCCCCCGCCGGGTGCTTCCTCGGTGACTCTGAGTGGCGAGTGGGCGGGCCCTTCCCCCTCGGCTGGGCTCCAACCTCAGTGTCCCAAGGACAGCCTTCCACGTTGTCATGGGAAACTCATTTCTGGGGCGCCTGGGGGGGCTCAGTCGGTTGGGCGTCCGACTTCGGCTCAGGTCATGATCTCGCGGTTCGTGGGTTTGAGCCCCGCGTCGGGCTCTGTGCTGACAGCTCGGAGCCTGGAGCTGCCTCAGATTCTGTGTCTCCTCTCTCTGACCCTCCCCTGCTCACGCTGTCATTTCTCAGAAATAAATAAAACATTAAAGAATTTAAGAAAGGAAGGGAAAACCTCTGATTTGTGAGGTGGCCTTCGGCCAGGGCAGCATCCCGAGGGACAGGTGTCGGCGCCTGGGCCTGCCAGAGACCCCGTGCGCGCCGCACACCATGTCTGGGAGCCGGGCAGGCAGGCGGGGTGCCCGCTGTGACCTGCGGAAACGCCGATCGGGGAGGCCGCCGCCCCCTCTCTCGCTGCCTGGGCGCTTTGCCGGGGCCTGTGGCCGAGCAAGCAGAGGGCGCGTCGGAGCGGCTGCGTGTGGGGCTCACAGGACACCCGGCTGGACCCTTGCGCTAGGAATTGTCCGGCCCGCCGCCGCCGCCTCCTGACCGCGTGGTAACGGCCTCTCTTCTGTTCCCCGCGGGGCTGTGCGGTGGGGGAGACGGCTGGCCGCACGTCCCAGGGCAGAGCACGGCTTCCCGCCCCGAGGCCCAGGGCTGGCCGGTGACCTGTGTCCAAGACTCTGCCACCCCCCAGTGCCTGGCGCTGGAGAGTCCCAGGGGCGCCCCTTCGTGGCGAGGCCCTCCTCACCCGCTGCCCCAAATGTTCTGGGACCTTCCATCACCCTGCCCAGAACCTTTGGCCAGCACGCCTCCACAGGGCGCACTCCTTTCCGTTCGGCGCACATCATTGGGCCCCCGGGGGTAAACGGGGCAGGAGCTGACTCTGTTCAGAAAGCTCCCCACCCAGCGACGGGTTCCGCAAACATCCGCCAAGCTTCTGGGCTACCCCCAGTTTCTCTCGGGTTTTGTCTGACAGACTCCTGTTGATCCTTCGAAACCCCGCTCAGTAGCGCCAGAAACCTCTAAATGCCCATCGGAGCGGGACTGGGTAAGCGACAGCGCCCCCTCCGGTGGAACGGAGCCAGGAGAATGTGGTATAGATGCCGTGAGGAGAGTATCCAAGATGTGCTTGAGGAAGGAAAAACCCCAAAGCAGGAATAGCTATGTTACTATTTGTATTTTAAAAGTTGGGCGGGCGGGGGCGGGGGGAGCGCCTGGGTGGCTCAGTTCTGACTTCGGCTCCGGTCGTGATCGCCTGGTTCGAGAGTTTGAGCTCCGCATCAGGTTGTCCGCTCTCAGCACGGGCCCTCTGTTTCCACTTCTCTCTCTCTCTCTCCCCCGCCCCTGTTTGTGCTCGCTCACTCTCAAAAAATACACTTTTTAGGGGCGCCTGGGTGGCTTAGTCGGTTAAGCGTCTGACTTTCGCTTAGGTCATGATCTCGCGGTTCGTGGGTTCGAGCCCCGCGTCGGGCTCTGTGCTGACTGCCAGCTCGGAGCCTGGAGCCTGTTTCGGAGTCTGTGACTCCCTCTCTCTCTGACCCTCTCCTGCTCACGCTGTCTCTCTCTCTCTCCTAGAAATAAATAAAACATTAAAAAAAATTTTTTTAAACACTTTTTAAAGTTTTTTTTTTAATGTTTTATTTATTTTTGAGAGAGATAGAGACAGAGCATGAGCAGGGGAGGGTCAGAGAGAGAGGGAGACACAGAATCTGAAGCAGCTCCAGGCTCTGAGCTGTCAGCACAGAGCCCGACGCGGGGCTCGAACCCACGAACCGTGAGATCATGACCTGAGCCGAAGTTGGATGCTTAACCGACTGAGCCACCCAGGTGCTCCAAAAAATACACTTTTTAAAGATTGGGTGGGGCATTAAAAAATGGATTGTGCATCAGGACCAGGTCTAGTGATTTCTCATGAACCTGAACCCAGCTACTCCGCTCCTCAGTATTTACCCAAGAGAAATAAAAATCCGTGTCCAGACACAGACTTGTATACTTGTATACGAGAACGTCTGAGGCGCCTGGCAGGCTCAGTCGGTAGAGCATGCGACTCTTGATCTCTGGTTGCAAGTCCAAGCCCCACATTGGATGCAGGGGTTACTTAAAAATAAAACAATGAGGGGCCCCGGGGTGGCTCAGTCTATTGAGCGTCTTATTCTTGATTTCGGCTCAGGTCACTATCTCCCTGTCGTGAGATCAAGCCCCGTGTCCGGCTCCATGCTGGGCATGAAGCCTGCTTGGGATTCCCGCTCCCCCCCGCCCCCCCCCCCGCTCATGCGTTCTCACTCTCAAAAAAAGAGATATCAAAAAAATTAAAAACAAAAAGACTATATATACATCCCATGCACATTCCGCACTATCATTTGCTATTTTATGAGAATATATTTGCTGAACGTTGGAAAAGAGAACTGAAGGCATCTCTGACATTTTTTTTTTTTAAATATTCACCATGGCTTATTCATAATAGCTGAACCGTAGGATTGGCCCAAACAGCTGACAGCAGGTTCAGGGATGAGGAGACGGCAGCACCCCGGGAACCGAAAAGAGCAAAGCAGCGATGGCCCGGCACGCGCGAATCACAGAAGCACGGGTCTGACTGCGTGAAGTGCACCGAAACGTACAAAGAGCACGTCCACGCGGTGCTACCCCATTTTTAAGAAGCCCTAAACCAGGCAAAGCTTATCTCTGGCGACAACCCCGGAACAGTGTTGTGTTTCTCTAGTGGGCCGGAGGCGGCCTGGGAAGAAGCACACGGGAACTTTCTGGCGACAGAAACATCTTTGACGGGGAGTGGGTTTCATTTGTCAAGACCCACGCGTTGGCCCGCTGAGGATTAGTGCATTTCGCTGTGTAAACACTGAACTGGAAACGCACACATACTGAATTCTAGAGGACTTTCTAGACCCGCTGTGGTATTTTGGGATGCAGCGAGCTGGTGGCCGCCAGTTACTTGGGGATGAATAAAAAAGATTGGGCAGAACGGTTGAGGCATGGAGGGAAGGACGGATAAGCATCTAGACGACACGGGTGGTCATTGCACAATTCCTGCCACTTTTTATCCAAGCTGGGGAGCCTGCTGCGCACGTGTGCGGATCGTGTACCCCAGGACATCCCTCCCGGCGTGGGCAGGTAGCTTCTGGAAAGGGAAAAGAGGGTGGCTGAGGGCAGGGGAGAGCACATTTCCTCTCTCTACACCCCTTTGCACTTTTTTACACTTTGAACCATGATCTAAATTATCCATTAAGTACATATAATATACTGTTAAAACCCCAGCTCAGTAGCTGTCCCTTGGCCGCTCCGACCCCACACGGACGCTGGACAGGCCCGCCCTCCCTGCCGCCCCGGCCTCGGCCTCCGCCTCGGTTGCAGGGAGGCGGCGGAAGGGAAGGTCGGCTCGCATCTCAGGCCCTGCGGCCGAGCTGGGCCGCGCCCCGCCCGCCTCCGGCCGCGCGGGGGCGCTGTGGCCTCGCAGTCACGGGCGAAGCGGCCACGACGCCCAGGAAGCCGGGAGGGACCCGCACTGTCCTCGCGGCCGCTGGCCTCTGGGACACCGCCGCCGCCGGACAGGCCGCCGCTGAGCCCCTCGCGCTTCCTCGCGCCTCGCGCGCGCTGTTCTCGGCCCGTCTGGCCGCTCGGGCTTCCCGCCTACCACCCGCCTCTCCCCCATCCGCCCGCCTCCCCTGCGCTCCCGTCACCTCCTCTGGGAAGCCCTCCAGACGCCTCCCTGAGCACCTGGCTCCCGGCTCCTCCCTGTCAGCTTGTCAGGGGGTGGGTGGGTGGGCGTCCGTCTCCGAGCTGACCGTCCCAGGCGCCCTGGCTCTTTCCCCAGGAGGGGCCCGGGGACGGGTCACCTCGGTGGGCGTCTGTGGACTTTGTGGCTGGCGCTCCGCGGGCCCTTCTCAGCCACCCGGTGCGGCTCGGGCAGGGCAGAGGGGTGAAGCCAGGCCCCGAGCTGAGGGCGGGGTGTGGTGCAGGGGAGCCCTCGGGGGGGGCGGGAGCTGGCGGGCACCACTGGGAGCCTGGTCACTGTCCCCTGGGCCGTGGGGACCGACCAGGGGTGGGACTGGGTCGGGTCTGCAGCTTCCAGAGACGGCAGGGACCGTGGGGGGCGGCCCCCGACTCCCGGCCCTCCCCGCTCTGCCAGCCTGCCCCCGCCCCGCGTCCCGGGTCCTGCCGGCCTGGGCCCCAGACCCGCACCCCCGCCGTGACCCCTGCGCCCCAACGTGAGGAGGCCGGGAGCTGTGCGCGCCCCCGCCGCCAGCGCGCTCCCGCGTGTCCCTCCCCGGCGCCCCTCCGTCGCGGGGTCCGCGCCCCGCGCCCCCCCCGCCGCTGCCCGCGTCCCCATTAATCACGCGGCGCTGACGGCGCCGATCTGCGCGCGGGCGGC